AGAAATTGAATACTTTCGCCTACTCTCCTTATTTAGTAGGTAAATAAAGGCTTCCTAAAAATATTTAAATAATTTAATTTTAAAGAAAAATAGGCACCAAACGTTCTTCCATAAATGCCAGATTTTTACAAACAAAATTTTAATTAAATTGTAGTCATGCAAGCTGATTTTTTTTCAACTGTGCACTAGAAAAATTTTCCCGCAATTAATACTAAGAACTGAAACAGGCAGAGTAAATAACTTAAGAAGAAAACTTAATTTGAGTGCTGTACGCTTTTGCAACAAATATGAACGACGACAGACACCTAACTGCCAGTGAGCGGGGGCGCGCATTCTTCTACCCGACCTCCTGGCGCTAAGACAATAAGTCGGTTGGTTGCATCAATCATGACAGCGAGGGAGCACTTGGCCACAATTCAGTCCAGTTACGTAAGCTATGAGCACGTGCGATGAATTAAAACTACGCTTCAGTACAAGAAAGGACGTACGACTACGAGGATTATTCCCACGTGCTGAATATTTGAAAGAAGTCAACAGAGCAGACTGGTCCCTGAATCGACTCTTGCTGAACTAACTAACTAGATGGCTTACCGAACCCGAAGGTTCATCACCGAATTAACCAAAGCCCTCCACCGGACCCTGTCCTGGGCCAACAAAATCCAGTTTCCTTCAACTCCTATCTCCCATAGATCACGCCTGACATTATTATCCTCCCATCTATGTCTAGGTCTCCCCAGCGTTCACCTCTTGTCCCATCCATGCGCGCTACATGCCCGGCCCATCTCAATCTTCTCGACTTAATCACCCTGACAATATTGGGGGAGGAGTACAGATTTTTAAGCTCGTCATTGTGCAGTTTTCTCCACGCCCCATCATCTTCCCTCTTAGGCCCAAATATCCTCCTCAACACCCAATTCTCAAACACCTGCAATCTGTGTTCCTCCCTCTGAGTGAGAGCTCTTGCTGAATACGATGACATTTTTCTTGATCCCAAATCACAAAGATGGCTGAATGACTTGAGAATTCTATTATCCATGATAGCAAGGCCGTGGATGCAAAGTGAAAGACTACCGTCAATTTGAATGGAAGCAGAGCTGATAAACTCTGTGGCTTATCAACGGCAATTGGTGGTTGAAGAACACTGATGTATTCCTATGTTTGAGTATTAGAAATGTCTTCCGGTCTTCAGGAAATGTCGGACATTCTTTTACTTTTCGTTCTGTTGTACTGCCACCACTGTTAACACAGTGACGTGGGGTTTGGGGGTGTCCTTGGCCATTCTCGCTTAAGTGACAGCACATAATGATGTATAAGCAGTGCTGTAATATACTCGAATTCTTGGCATAGGGTTTGGAACACAAGCTCGCATATTTCTATCGTCATATGACACAGCCCATGTCCTGGGTCAGAGTTTGTTCCAACTGTTGCAGATTCATTTTAAGACGTTAAACCTTCATATCAGAGTACCATAAATTCACACGAACGTCAAGTGACACCAAGACTGCGGGACCGCAACAATTAAACACGAACAAACAAGACCTTAATAAATCTAATAGACCTCAATATCTAAGAAATACAGTAAAACCCCTCAAGTTGGACACCCCTTTATATTGGACACTTTTAATCGGAATAGGCGAATATCCTATACTTTTACATGTCCACAATACCCTGTATCTTGGACACCCCTTTATCGTGGAACATGAACACCCCTTTTGTTGTAAGTTGGACAGGTTCATGCACTTAACTTCGATGCTTTTCAGGGAAACTTTTTCAGTTACATATTTTGTTATTTTGAATTTCTGACTGATGAATGCCTCCTCTCTGGAGGATTATCTAATGGACATTGAACCCATCACTGGAATGCATTGCAAGTGTTTAAATATTCTTTTGCTGAACCCTTAACTGGACTACAGTTTTAACTCCGTCAGTACTGTGCTTGCATTCGAGTTCAGACTGTGTTAACAGAAACTGAATTTTTCTTTTTGCGATGGGGAAGCGAAATTTGGTGGAATTAACTTTAGAAAATGTTATTGAGGCTGGGGTGTAATGTGCAATGCATGGGAGTGGGCTTCAAAATATTATTGTTAATACTATTGTCATCAATTCTTAATTCCAGTAAGCCTAAAGTAGTTCGTGTATGTAAGTACAGTAAGGAATTACCAGAAAGAGATAAATGAAAGTTAAGAAGGCAGAATGTTGGCAGCATATACTGAATGTGTTATCATATATTTGTCAATACAGTAAACCCCCTCAAGTTAGACACCCCTTTTTCCTGGACACCTCTCTGTATTGGACATTTTTAATTGGAACCAGTGAATACCCTATAATTTTACATGTTCACAATACCTTATATCTTGGACACTGCTTTTGTTTTAAGATGGACAGGTTCATTGCTTTTCAGGGAAACATTTACAGTTACATATTTATGTTTTGAATTTCCGACTGATGAATGCCTTCTATCTGGAGGATTACCTTGTGGTTGAGGGTGGGAGACATTGAACCTATCATTGGAATGTAGTGAAAGTGTTTATTCTCTTGTTGAACCATTCACTGGACTACAGTATTTCAGATACACTTTTAACTCCATCAGCACTGTGCTTGTATTTGAGTTCTATCTTTGTTAACAGAAATGGGGTGATTTTTTTTTTGCGATGGTTAAGTGAAAATTGGTGAAAATAACTTTAGAAAAGAAGAAGGAAGTTTTGGATCTTCTGAGGAAAGGAGAAAGTTGCATGAAGCTGGCAGAGGAATATGGCATCTCCAAATCTACTGTTTCCAACAGCAACAGAGCCACCATTACTGATGCATGGGAAAAGACTTGTAGTGCAGACTGAAAAAGACATTTGTCATTACATCACAATCTGAAAGGATTTTTCCCTATCCCTCTATCTTGGACACCTCTTTCTGTTGGACGCATTTTCGTGGAACCCAAGTGTCCAACTTAGAGAGGTTTAACTGTACATAAACCTAGAAGAATAAGAAGAATTGTAGTAAACACAAAACATGCGGCAAAGTATGTGATGGGAGTGTAATGGTGAAAACACGAAGATGATGTATGTATTCAGCACGCAAAGGAGGCCAATGTACAGGAAAACTTGAGAGCCCTCTTGGTATCCCCTGCCACAATGAGGACTGACCTTCCTCTGCAGGGTATGCTTCAGCTAGGTGTGGCCTGGTCAAGGGTCAATCTTTAGACATTGGAGTGTGTACGTGAAAGTTTGTTTCACAGTATTTGCTGCAACAGTAAGACTCTCTACTGCTAAATGACTTCTCGACAAAAGAGGAGGGACATTTTTAACGGGACTTTACAAAATTAAGCTTCAATTCAGTTTTCTTCTCTCATAAGAGCAGAATGTTAACATGTTACATATGCAGGTCGTGGCTAGAAATAAGAGAAAAACAGTAACGTTGTCAATAATCGTCAGATACGTTGGTTACGCGTCAAAACACTTTGGTAACTGTGAACAGACGAGTGACGAACGAGGACAAATGTTTTGCTGGTGTCAGCGAGGGCTTAGGACATTTCCATTCAACATCCAACACACTTCCTGGCAAAAAATTTGAAAATCTCAGATTTTCAATTGTCTGAAATAATGTACCGATATAAAGCAGCTCACACCCAATAAAAAAACAAATTATATTACTCATAGACTCGCCCAAGAGAAAAGAATGGCTGAAGGATTTTCGAAGTGAAATCCTGATATCAGTCTCAGGAAGCCTAAAACGACGTCTGTCGCTCGTGCAGTCACCCATACAATTGCTTACAATAAGCCATGAGTTTTTAAATTGTTTGATGTTTATCACACGCAAGGGGGAAGAAAAACAACAAAAAACAATGTTTGTTGCCTGTTCGCTGAACTTAAATGGTGTTTGAAGCTCGTAAAAAGAAAAAAAAATTTATGTTGTGGCAAGTACTGAACAAGGTTTGCTGCACGAATCCTGAAACATTTGTTCTTCTGGCCTTAAGTACTTTTCAGGCATGTCTGAACCTAAAAGTTCTAAAATAAGCACCATTTCGCTTTGCCACGTGTGTCCGACTGCCCGCGCACGTGACAACTTGAGAACCAATGAACAAATTTCCATATGAAATTTGATACTGGGGAGTTTAACTAATACTGTATTTCTTCAATTGTAAGATGCAAACTTGATGTAGTAATAGATTTTCAGGAAAAAAAGGTGCAATATCAGTGATCAGATGACATCAAATTTAAGACACACCCAAATTTTAGTAATTTTAAAATGTGAAAAAAGTGCATCTTAAAATGAAGGGAGTACATGCAACATGAAGGAATACCAGGAATCATCAATGATGACTATTATCTTCCAAAAAGACAACTTCCAGACACCGAATCCAACTTCTTAATGATCAACACAGAATTGCATTTGCTTACTGTTTCAATAAAGAAATAATTATAACAAACACTGGTGTATATTTTTTCATACTGTTGAGAGAATTGTAGGTGCCCCCATCATTAGGGTGATGACGGAGGCAGTATGACCTCCGAAACGTTGGTAAACATCTACCATACTACACAGCGCAACAACCCAGAAGACAGAAATCTTCATACTCACCGCTGTGAAAACCTCAAATCTTACAAATTTGGAATTCCTTATTCTGCCGCTAAAAAGAGCAGTTACGTAAGAGTTCGGAATTTTATGATCTCCGTAGCAAAATTAACGATCGGTTTTTAAAGGAGAGGTGGGAGTTTCACCTGGAAAAAGGCACAAGGGGCCCTATAAAGTAAGATTTGAGGTTTTCACAGCGGTGAGTACGAAGATTTCTGTCTTCTGGGTTGTTGCGCTGTGTAGTCTGGTTGATGTTAACCAACGTTTCAGTGGTCATACTGCTTCCGTCATCACGGCGATGTGCCAGTGGGGTGTGTGGCACATTCATCACCCTGATGACGGAGGCAGTATGACCTCTGAAACGTTCGTAAACATCGACCAGACTACACAGCGCAACAACCCAGAAGACAGAAATCTTCAATAAAGAATATATATGGTATTTCTGTTTCAGCAAGTCTATGACACAATTTCACAGACTTAACTGTAACAAATTTAATTTTTGCTACTATTTTTGGCAATACATTCACACTCAAACACACAATAAAATTATAATTTATGAAACTACCAAAATCAGTTCAGTTTTATATAGTATAAAGCATCACAAAATATGTGCAAATATTTTAAGGCACTTTTGTTAGTTATGATGTCAGTGCAATTTTAAAAACTACCATTAGTAAACCTTAAGTTCAGGAGAGAGTTCTAAAAAATATATACCTTTTGTAGTTAACACATCCAAGTGTTTCCTTACTTTATATTTTTGTATAAAATTTCTAGGGCGTCATGCCAAAATTAAAAATTACTGATTTACAGGAAACTAAACTCTTATGCTTATTTGATATCATAAATGTGCATTATTTGCATTTATATGCCCAAAAGTAGCTATAATATATCTGTGTACAGCAGAAATATCAATACACCCTTCTGGCATTACATCCTCCATCTGTTTTAAACAACACATCGATGGAAAACAAAAATATAAATTACAATAAAGCAACAGTTTCAATTCAAGTTACGAGCACGTCAGGATACACCAAATAAAACTGTAATAAGATTTACTATAACAATATTGCACTGCCCACATTTCATAAAGTTTTCTTTGTTTCAAAGAACTTACTTTGTGGTAAGTACCTCTGTACTGCAACGAGGAACTTTATTTGTATCACAGATGTGGTAAGGAAACAGATCCCCGCAAGTTGCTGGACCGTCGAATATTGGTAAGTTCAACATCATTCTTACCTCCTTCTGCTTGTTGTTTCTTTTTCAGCAACTGCCCACCAGTAAATCCTTAAAATAAAAATGATAACAGTAACCATCAGTCAGTTTGTAAGATTTGCGGTTTTCACAGCGGTGAGTATGAAGATTTCTGTCTTCTGGGATGTTGCACTATGTAGTCTGGTGACGGAGGCATTATGACCTCTGAAACGTTGGTAGACATCGACCAGACTACACAGCGCAACAACCCAGAAGACAGATATCTTCATACTCACCAGGGCGATTCATCGCCCTGATGACGGAGGCAGTATGACCTCAGAAACGTTGGTTAACATCGACCAGACTACACAGCGCAACAACTCAGAAGACAGAAATCTTCATCAGTCAGTTTCTATCAGACTACACTTTAAAACATGCCAGAAAACAGTAATTTATTACAAATACTTACCAATGACTCCACAACCAAGAGCGGCAAGCCCACCTAGCTTCATGCCAGCAATAAGGCCAATTGGACCTCCCAAACATCCACCAAGCACAGCACCTGCTATTGGATACATTGTAGCCCTGTAGCGTGCGGCCCTCACCAGATGTGATGTGCCTTCCTCTACATTCTCTGCTGCTTCTTCGACATTTTCTTCTACTTCATCAGTCTTCTCCTTCTGTTCCTATTATTATTATAAAATAAAAGTATTCATAAAATGAAACATGCTTACCAGCTGTGAATAGATACCAAACTTAAAGTTTCGTAGACTTCACGGAACCCCACTGTGTTTCATCTGTGTCCATTACGGACCTGCTGTTGTACCTTATTGTACTTCGAAATACAAGTTATATGTAAATTCTGAAATTAATAATATTACAAAATCTATTCTTTAGAAATAACTTATTAATGTTATTTATTTATTTTTGGTTTACATAATGACTTTTCAACAGCTCAGAATACAGTGTCAAATAATTAAAAATAATTGGAAAAGATGTGGAAATAAGGGGTCAGGGCCTAGTGTATGGTACTATCTCAGAATTTTCCTGGAGAGACTGTAGAAAATCATGAAAACCTGTCAGAATATCTTATCTCTGAGCTAAGATTTTAACCTGGGATCTCTCAAACTGCCAACCACTTGGTTATGACACCTGGTATTAATAATGTCAAAATATAAATCATATCTAAAATATGCATTCAGAAATTCTGATTGCAATGTTTATGGCAGTACGTGGGAAAAGAACGTGTGCCGTATATGTGATATAAAAATGTGTCACGCTCACAACTGTGCTCAGGAGAAACATACAAACAGCGAAGGGAAAAACTGAACACAAGCTGATCAGCCAGGTACCTCTTTTTATGGTCATACGGTATCACATGTTCAACTTCATTTCATTATAATTTCTAATGGACAATTATTAAATAACCGTATTCCCGTCATCACCCAACCACCATACTCTCCAGATCTCGTTCCGAGTGACTTCTGGCCATTCCCTACTCTGAAAATGGGCCTCAAGGGGACGAGTTTCGCAACCATGGAGGACATCAAATTGAATGCGACGGCCGAACTCCAGACTTTTCCAAATGAAACCTTCCGCCAGTGCTTCCAACAATGGCAGGATCGATGGAGCAAGTGTTTGTGTGCGCAAGGGTCCTACTTTGAAGGTGATTAGGTAAGCCTTGCCATATGTCCTACCATTACAGTGCTATACCACAATTCCAGGAACTTTTTGACTGCCCCTCGTATATCAAGTTATCTTAAAAAAATAAAATATATAAATAAAATGGAGTACGTTCTTTTAATTACTATCAGTTTATTACAAAGAAGATGGACCGTTATATAAATTTCCTTTTCTAGTATGCAATATGTATGTACATTCTAATTTAATTCAATATTAATTTCTTTTACATATAACATAACCTATTCAAGACTTTTACTTCCTATTATATGAGACAACTTAAAGATAAATGAATGATTATATATGTCAATGTGGTGATGGAAAACTAAAAAAATTAAAACCACTAGCGCGATGATGGTTAGCCGGACTACATGTAAGCTGTGTCACATGGACAATGAAGGTTAAAATGGCTGTTTAAATATTCATTTACAGAGGTAAATCTCCTCACCTGAACCATAAGTGAAAAGTCTTCAAACAGCTGGTGTATATCCTGTACCTCTGCCTGTAGATTCTCCCACGACCTCAGACATTCCTTTTGCTTGGCCAGTTCCTCAGAGGAAATGCTGCCAGTGATTTCTACAGGTAAACCTGACATCTGATTCAATAGGGTTTCTTCCTCTATGTTGCTTGTTACATCTTCAGTGTCATTTGCACTGATGTCACTCTGCGGTGTAACCCAAACTGGTTTCTGATGCTGAGGATTCAAAACTTAGAAAAAATAGCAAATTAATTGCATTAAACCATACACAAACTACTAAGAAACTAAAGGTATACTACTAGCTATTCATGGCACAGAATCTGGTTGGCAAATTTATAGTGAAACATGTATATTCTTTATGCCTGCGTGATTTTGACGTAACTTTAATGCTAAAATTTCTTCTAAATTAACAAACATTCTTTAAATCTTGTTGAAAACAATGCAATCTTTTAATAAATTGCAAATAGTGCACCCATCTAGTCAAGAAATTCCCTACCTTTTAAGGAACTCAAAAATTCATTACTGTGCTCACAAGTGCCTGCTACCTTGTCAGATAAATACTATCCATGCCCATATATTTAATTTCAGCAAAAACCATTTCAAAATTATTCTTACATCTACACCTTGGTTTTCTAAGTTGTCACCTCCCTTTACACTTTTCAACCAAAATTTTGTTCCCATTTCTCATCTCCCCTATGCTTACTGCATACAGCTCTCATATTAAACAAATTTCTAATAGTAATCTAAAATTTATAACATCATACTAAATCATACACAGTCATGACTGTAAATTGAGTTCCTACAGCACAATTTTCATTTTGAAGTGGTGGTAGCCTACTTTAATATAACAGACTGGATTCTCCTGGAAGAAGTGCAAGGAACCACAAGAAATTTCAGTCAGGACAGCTAGTTCCGTCACTGAGAAATGAAGAAGATCCATCCGTTTTGCGAACCTAACAGTCACTTAGGTAGTCAAGCAAGTTTCCTCGTTTCACAAGCGCCCACCACGTATCCCTATCTTCAGCCCGATGAATCCAGTTCACACCATATCACCTTAAGATTGGTTTAGTGTGAATCCTCCCATCTATGCCTGGGTCTTCAAAGTAGTCCATTTTCTTCAGGTTTACAAATAAAAATTTTGAATACACCCCTCAGCTCTCCCATGCAATATGCACTGTTAATCTGATCCTCTTTTAATTTGATCACTGTAATAACATGTAGTGAAGGTCTTCTGTCAGGATCTCACACACAGACGCAGACACACACTCAGAGATACACAGACACACATACACTCGTGTGCACAAACACACACACACAAATTCGTACTACTGGATCACTCACCAATTACAATCATTACTTTACTTACCTAGATAGTCCTTAATGGCATCCTGAGCATTTTTGCGAGCCCTATCAGTGAGAGTGTCAAACTTCTGTAGATCTGAATCTTGTACCTGACTTCTTAGCATGTCCATTTCATAAATCAGAGCTTTCAGCTGTTTTATTAATCTTGTTGCATTTATTTGTTCACAATGCATTCGATCCCAGTCTCCCAACTGTTGAAACTGGTGCAAAGAAATTAAGAATTGGGTACTTGTGGGTTATTGGGGCACATCGTTTTAAAAATAGGTTAGGTTAGGTTAATGTGTGTGGATAAATGACATATACTTGAAAGTTATTATACTCAATAAATGACAAATTATTATATTTCATTTGGATATGCATGAGATGTTAATTGTTGTTACAACCTGTCTCTGGTGGCCAAAATTCGCTTATAGATTTTAGAATCATTTTAAAATATCGCCGTTATCATTTGTACGCCGCCACACAAAATACATAAAGGCTACTACTGAACTTCCCATGTAAAGTCAAAATTTGTTTATAAAAATTAATAAGTTTTAATAAATTAGAAGCAATGCAATGTTTCTTAAATTAAAGCTGATACTTATAATTTAGAAATGAATATCAGTGAATAACAAAAAAAATAGAATTTTTGAAGATGGATATAATGAAAAGAAAATTTATGATAATTTAAAACAATGTTTAATTTACAATGAAAACAGCTTAAACTAAACAAAAGTTACGAGATGTTTTAAAAATCCAATATGGAATGTCAAATTTCTTTCTACCCAACATTCAAGCTTTGTATGAATTCTGAAGAGGAATTTGAGAAGTACAGTCTGAAGGTGATAATGTGAGATGTGATTTTAATTCCTGGTTTCACAAGAACTGCTGAATTTGTTTCAGAGATAAGAAAGAACTTCAATGCATGATTAATATGTAATTGTAACTTTAAGTATATATTTCATGTTATTAATTTATTTTCCTGTGCTTAATAAACCCAACATAATTCTAATATAATAAAACAAACTAAACTAAATTAAACAAGTGTAACCTGTCATTTAATATGTATATGATAACTTCACTAGAATGATGGACAACATCTATCACCGTGCCACTATGTACTAGTGCTACTGATAGCATCAATAAATAAACCACAACCAATTCAATAAATCATTGAAAAGCATAACTAGGTGAAAATATCATGTCAACAATGGAGGCAACATAAATAAATATTAAGATTTTTTTTCTGTTCCCTTTTTTATTATGTTATACAGTGTCTGACAATTTACTAACCAGACTGATTCTGAAAAGAAAAATTACATACTGTCACTAACCTTAGCGAGTGTGGTCATCTTTGCCTTCTGACTTTATAAACACACTCCAGTGTCTCTGCCATGGCTGGGAACATACCTGAAAATCATTTTCTGAAAATCCTTTCACTATTGTCATAAAATGCTCTGAATGCTCCTGGAGTTTCGAAGCAAAATCCTTTCAAAGAGTTTTAATAACCCCCCTGTACTATTTTCTAAATGTTACCAACATTTTTCTAACCCACACAAAATGTGAATGTCTTACAAAGAAGTGACATTTTTCATCAATTTCAGTAAAAATGTCATGTTGATTTCTAGTTATAACAATATCATCCATGTTCTATACAAACAAATAAAACATTCCTTAAGTAAAATTGTTACTATAACTTAAAAACTTATTTTTAAGAACTGTCTGGCACAAACCTGTTAAATAATCTAGTCATATGATCCAAAATATGCAACTCACCAATGAGATGCTGCATTAAACATCAGTCTAGTTATTTGTCAGACCTCATATAACAGTACCACACCACCATTTGAGATTACATTAACATAAAACAAACAACACAAAAGGTCAGTTTCAGGGGGACCAGAAACAGATGCTATGATGTATTTAAAGTTTTGTCCTGAATTGAAAAATTCATACAAAATCTTAATTGGGACATAGTCACAGCCAGAATTTGAAATGGAAACCTCCCACTTATAATGATACACACATAAACAGGAAGATCTTTCCAACATCAATGATGCACTGCAACCATAATGGTTAGACAACATCAGCTTTTAAAAATTTAAATTGCTAAACTAAATTTATTATAATGTTTTCACTTTATATCAAGAATTAATTTATGAATGGGAATCTGATATAAAAAACTTCCAATTAAATTCTATCCTTAAGATGAAGAAGATATACAATACTACATGACATCACAAACAGAAGACTGAAAACAAAAAATTCCCAGCAGCTGTAAATTATTTACGTATCCCAGAAAGGACCAGATAGTTTGATTTGAATACATTGTCCAGTACCATTTATTTCAGTTCCTTCAATATTCACAATAAATTATGAAATGTCATAATTTATAACCTTTATCAAGTTCTACCAGCTGTGGCAAATTATCAATCCACATAGTAAATGTATGGAACAATCTCAATCCAGTAATGAAATAGGTTAAAACGTAGCTTACACTGCTTTGAAAAGGTTCCTGAATTTAATTTTGGCACATTATATCATAAAGCTGAATGGTCCATATTTATTTTTGAACACAGAAATTAAGAAATTCATGGACATAAAACACAATTTTTACCTTTTCTATGTTGATCTTATGTTTTTGAAGTAAATCTACGTGATGAGGTATCGCTACGTCATTGAATTTACACAATGGAATTTCAACCCTCTTCAGAGGTTGTTTAGGAACTGCCGTGACACTTATATTTTCGTTGGATCTTGACATTATGCTATGATTCTGTTTTCCAGTACTTTTCTCTTGTGTTACACTATTTTATCGAAGCTATACTTATTTAAAACACGAATCCCACTTCACTACCATATTTAAAATTATTTCACAGCTGACTAGTATGACGTCGTCATTTCAGGATTGCCAATGACATCAAAATTACCCATTTCCAACGTAAATTCCTGACTTTATTGCAAGTGGTAACATAAGCAGCTATTATGTCCCTATTAAGCATTAACCAATTTATCTTTTTAATGTGATTTTAACGGATGCTCGGCGGGGTTGTGCACACACCTTAAAAAGAAACTTAAAAAATGGTAAATTACAGAAGCATATATGGACATGGGGTAACAGAAACTACGTGAAGTAAGGTAGTAGAAACAAAATTGTTTGGGCTCGCAGCTGACTAAACTGGCAAAAAAATATATGCTATTTTATAGAAACTTATGATTGGTAATATGGTTTACCATGTATATTGTAGATAGATATAAATAATGAAGACAGCATAGCATTACAAATCTGTATGATGAAAAGTTAGGGGAACACCAAAGAAATGCATGAAGATATCCATCCTCTCAGTCTTGAGTTAACAGTATGTGGTATATGATTTTGCTCATTATGTCTCATTTTGGGCTGGCCATTTTTCTCCCTAATAATATGTTCTTCCATTTACTGAATATGTATATGTAATTTTTAGTTTTACATTTGGTTTTAAACTGTTTATGTAGTTTTTCACTAATTTCTTACCTCAAGGACACAACTTAATTTCAAGTACCACCCAATAATGTTTGTGGAGAACAAGGATCAGCTGTTTCCTGCAAATTATTTACAGTATGGATGTTTCAGATACCACATGTAATCCATGAGATATGACTTCACTGTAAAATTGTTTTGGAATCATTAATATGGAAATTTTGGGTCCTATAACAAGGGCTATGGAGTCACTAAAATAAACTACCCTCTAACCATAAATTGTCATTTTATTTGCATTTGCATAGGTACAGCATAATTACCACAAAAAGTGTAAGCTGTAAAAGAAAAATACAGTACATTAAACCATGCATGGTGCTATGCCTACAGTTCATATATTCATTTTACCTTTTCAGGTTAGAAAACAACGGGCATAATAATTCTGAATGCATTATGACATGGTTACAGACCCTTGGTATCACATTATCCCTCTTAAATATTAACAAACAACTGTTCAATGATGGATTTTTATAGAACATTTATATGTACTATTTTATGATAATGTGAGTTGTATTCATAATTATTTCATTGTCCTTGTCTTCCATATTTCACCATATACATATATTCCCAAAACAATACATAAAGGCTGACTCATCAATTTAAGTTCCTGAAGGAATGATATGTAGAAGTTAATGCATGCCTGCACGCAAGTTTTCAACTATAACAAACTATGTAAGATCTGAGGTTTTCACAGCGGTGAGTATGAAGATTTCCGTCTTCTGGGTTGTTGCGCTGTGTAATCTGGTCGATATTTGCCAACGTTTCAGAGGTCATACTGCCTCCGTCATCAGCGCAACAACCCAGAAGACGGAAATCTTTATAACAAACTAGACTAACACACACAAACAATTATAAAACACTTTAATATAGTACTATGAGACAAGTTAAGTTATTAAAACTGTGGTTCTCGACCATCTCCATATCAGGGATCACATTTGCCCTGTCTTATTAACTCGCAGGCCATCAGGTTACAAATGAGGACAAATAAAATTTATTGAAACTTGTCAGTAATTTATTGAACATGCTACTAACTTACTATTGCAAACAGATATATATTATTAAATATTTTGTTTAACAAATTTCATTAATTATTTTTATTAACTATTCACTTAAAATTAAATATCTGACTGATACAGTAACAGTTTCTGCATCATGTAAACTGATACAAAAGTACACAGTCTGCACAAAATGTTGGCAGGCCACAATTTTAGAACCCCCGTTTGAAATATAATATTAAGACCCAGTCAGTTACCTTGCCAGTTTGTGTGGTTGAACTTTTCAAAACTGAATTTTACTTATTTGAACGATAATGCAGGTTGACATCAATTATTTCACCTTCTGTATTAACTTGCTATGTTCTGTGAGCTAAGAACATGAGATACTAATTCAAGAAATGCAACTGTTAAACATTTTTGTTTTCCACTTGTCCAAAATTATCTGTTTTGTATTTAAAAAAAATAAGGTTTTGTTAATAACAGATATTTCATTCACCAGTTAAGTACATTATAAGCTACTTCTAAAGCCATGCAGTTACTTGTTAAGATTATGTGAATACAACATATTTTCAACTATATTTTACATCTCAGTGTACATTTCAGTCATTGTATTTTCATTGATTCATCTACTGAAATTTCTAGAAAAGATCCAATCAACACTCTCTAAAAATGTTGACAAAATTAAATCATATAACGCGCACATTACACTGTTTGTAAAGCAGTCAAAACAAGTATAACAATAATTTTGTTATTTATAATTATTGCAGAATTCAAGTATCATCTTCAGGTAAGCTTAACATTTTCTTTCCACAAGACTTAAGACAACTATCATGAGGCAGAGTATAGTTCTAAAATTCCGACAATCTTAGCTTAATTTCCTATAACTACGTTATGTATCAGTGTTTTCTTTATACCTTGCCATGTGAAACATCAATATGTATTTAAAGTAAATACACTACATAACAATTATAAATATCTATAGAATACTGCTTCAACATGAGTACCTTTGTGCTATTTTTTTCACATTTAGTTTCAAGCTTTAATTTCTATCCTGTTTTGAAACAAAATTTCAATGATGCCCTCATCAGCTAATGTCGAGATGTCCCCAATATCTCTATCGTTCTGAGCAACCTTGCGAAGAATTCTTCTCATGATTTTACCTGATCTTGTTTTGGGAAGGCCAGGAGCATGTTGAATTACTTCTGGTGTAGCAAATGGACCAATCTTTTCACGAACTGAAAAAAAAATTAGCGCATAATTATATCAGAAATACTGATGTGACAAGACACTAATGATGGTAAAGATGACACTGGCCCAGGACTAGGTGCTACAAGTACATGTGCAAATCATTTAAATATTTTAAATGAGAATGTTTACATGAACTTTACCTTTCCTCTTAAGTTCATCTGTCAGTTTCTCTGAGAATTCCACATCTTCATTTGGGGTGACAAAACAGTACAGGCACTCTCCTTTGATTGGATGAGCCTGTGAGACTACAGCAGCCTCCGCTATACTTGGATGTGCTGAAAGTGTGGATTCAACCTCAGCAGTGCTCAACAAATGTCCTGATACATTCAACATGTCATCCACTCGGCCAGTTACCCAGAGATAGCCATCCTCATCTCTGTGTGCTCCTGCAATTGTAACACCATAATTACATCAACCAACTGCACAGAACAGAGTTATTGAGAAGCTAACAGTATATCATCTAGTCAAAAAGTTCCCATAATTTTATGGAACTCAAAGGTTCATTACCATGTTCACAAGTTGAATCCAGTTTATACATTCATATCCTATTTATTGAAGATCGATTTTAATATTTTTCTCCCGTCTATGCCTAGATCTTCCAAGTGGCCTCTCTTGAAGTTTTCCAACTAAAATTTGATTAACATTTAATAACACACTGAATTGTTTATACTGACAGGTGGTAGTACTTAGTAATTACAATAACTTAACAAAACTATTTAATCAATGTTTTGACATTTATTAAATAATCTTGCATAATGGACTAACCTACCTACCAACTAAAAAATAATTAACTTCATGGTGGAAAAGTTGACAGTTGCTCAGATAGTCAAGAAATTCCCTAGCCTTATAAAACCTTTTCATATCCATGATTACTGAGGCCTGACATTGGCCAGTTCAATCCAGTCCACAAAGTTCTCTGAAAAAATTTTAATATCATCCTCCCACCAATGCGTAGGTCTCCAAAGTGGTCTCTTTCCTCTATGTTTCCCAATTAAAGTTCTCAATTAATTTTTCAATATCCTCATACTGTACATAAGCAATTCCTCATTATAATGTTTGTTAACACACAGCTGGATAGAACTCAGATTCAAATATCATCTCATCTCGCAGAATGGCTAACCTGGGTCACGGTTACTGTGATATTTCTTAATCCCTTTTGAAAATGAAAGGACAGGACCATAAAAGAAGCCACAAGTGCTTCGTTTCACATCCTCTCAAATTCATTATTTTGCAATTATCCTACCACATGACACTATTATCTGGAAATGTGTCATTAAACTTTATAAACTGTTCACTGCAGTTAACATGTTAAGAGCAAATAAACTTTTTACCATTATAATATGATGCGTATCTGTATAAAAGCTATATATACCCCACAGGGGCTCAATCCAATGAGACTAACAGGTGCACTGTATCTAAACTTAGTCCCATACTCACTCACTGGTAGAAAGCAAATCTTGCATTTCTTACCATCCCCTGTGCAGTAATATCCAGGAAATTTCTTAAAGTATGTTGTTTCAAATCTCTCATGATTCGCAAATAGGGTCCTCATTATGCCGGGCCATGGTCTTCTGAACACCAGGTACCCTTCTCCAGGCCCCAGAATCTCCTTACCATTCTCATCCAGCAATACAGGGAGAACCCCAAAGAAGGGCAATGTCTGAAAAAGGATATTCAGTATAAAACGTAAGTTTCGCGGGGCGGAAGTCTCGAGTCAACGCGAAACCAGATTATAAGTGGTAAGAGGTGATCTGAAACACGACTCATTCCATTGGGGCCAAGAGAACAAATCAGACCTGTTAGCTACACTGAAGTTCAGACAAGAAACATGGAAACAGGGACCTTGAAACTACATGTACTTAACATAACTAATTAAAATCAAGACTCCAGAAATACAACTTAAATGTCTTTAAAATATAAAATCATCTTGCCCATAGTCTCACAGTATGCTTCAAATAAATGTTAAGTTTAAGGAATTAAAGTTATACATTATTTAATTTGCTTCTTGTGCTTTACATATGATTTATTTCCATTTTTTAATGATGCTGTCAATAAGTTAGATAATACGGTATCAAATGGTAGGATGATTAATTAATAAATGAACAGAAAATAATGCGGAAAAAAGTGACTGTGTTCTCATTAAAAGTAATTTTCCAGCATAAGTGAGGAGAGAGTGACAAAAATCATGAAACGGTGGTCAATATACCCAGTCCGTCAGCCAAGATTTAAAACTGTGAACATCCAAATAAGAAATATGAGTGCTAACCACGTGGCTGCAATGATAACTATTTGTTAAATTGTTAATATAATAATACATTTATATGACACTATTGGTTAATTCGGTGATGAACCTTCGGGTTCGGTAAGCCATCTAGTTAGTTAGTTAGTTTAATATGCATTACCACCTGTGGAAAGTATGTGTTTCTGGAACCCACAACAAAATTATGAATTAAAAATCTTTTAAGATGTTAACAAAGGATTGTAACTATTCCACATACCGCTGAGCCTGGTTTCATAGGTGTACATCCAGGTAATGGCGTTATTACATGTCCTCCAGTCTCTGTCTGCCAGAAAGTGTCTACAATAGAGCACTTCTCATGTCCAATAATTTTGTAGTACCAATGCCATGCTTCTGGATTGATGGGTTCGCCTACTGATCCAAGTACTTGTAATGTGCTTAAACTATGCCTGTTCAGATAAAATAAACATTAATTCTGGAACACATTTTCAAAAATAAACATGTCCATGAGAAGGTGGGGTCAGAAATCCACATTCTGTGAACAAATACAAATGCTAAATTAATTGTATCAGATCATCCCACTATCCTACAGCTAAATAATATGATCTTCACATGTTAATCTTCATTGCAAAATGTAAAGTTAAAAAAGGGTGCTCCTCCACTTGCCACAATCACATCAATTAGCCCCAGTGGCCCCCAGGCTGTTTCCAAAGATTAAAAAAAACACTGAGGTATCCAAAATCAGTTATTTAAAAACAGTGGCGGATACAGCAACTTATCTGTGTGGAAAACATATCACTAAACAAGTGTTTAAAATTCAGATTGAGATCTTTGGGTTGTAACACGTAGTCTTGCAATATTTTGATGAAACTTGCTACAAGAGGTCCCAAAATGTCATGAAAAAGACCACACGAGAAACCAGAAGCTATACGGGAGAATACTACAAAATGTATCATGAGATAATACACTGTGGAGATGTAAAATTAATAAACCCTCTAATAGTGGTGGTTGAAATTTACCAGATCTGTAGCATTCTTGCTCTGGTCAAGTTTTTCATGCGGCTTACTTTTTAACAGGTTCATCCCCAAACTTCATGAGTGCTCTCAATGCTGTAGGTGCCGTGTAGAATTGATTTACTCGGTATTTGTCAACTATCAGCCAATACCTGTCGTTGTCCGGATGGAAAGGCGTGCCTTCAAACTATACCAGAAAAACAACAACATATATTTCAGTGAAATGTGTGATTTAATAAAAATACAATACCATTTTCACACGCACGCATGCGCGCACATGTCCTTCTAAATTTTACTAATTGTAAGTTTGGTAGAATTTATGGCAATGTGTTTTTTAAACATCAACCAAAATTTTAAAGTCACAGGAAGGAACACAAAATAATATCACATAACTGTTTGTACTAAGAGCTGTTTTCTCTTGTTGAAAAAAATATAAAAATTTCAATATGTGAAAGAAATTTTAGGCATTTCAATACTGGAAATGTATACGATATGGAGGATTTATAGGTTTTGAAAACTATCATACACTCAATTATACAGAATTTTGTACCTGCACTCAGGAATGTGTATGACGAGTACTTACTAACAAAATAACTTTTACAATAAGGTTCTCTATTTATTCATATATCTTCATTATGTTTCACAAGCCAGTTTCAGAGTAATAAAATGCAAATAAATGAAATTAAAGTAAAGGAACCACAAAATTTCACTTAAATAATTAACCTTTCCTTTATTTCTATAAAATTCCTTATGTATTTACGAGTCACTTATATGGTGTTTAAAATTCTGCTTGCATCATGACCTTTGTCTTCTGGATCAATGATAATGTACTTGGTGTTTTCACATTACAAAGGATTCTTAACTTCAGGTTCAACTTCAGAAGAGTGATAATTCCAAGTTAAATGTTAAAGTTAAAATATCCTGGCATTTGCTGGATGTTACACACGTTTCCAGAATTCAGACACTGCTGACATAGTACTTTGCATTTAAAAGCAAACAATCTGATTATAAAGCACAGTTGATCATTAAAAAGTTTGTACAACACAGTAATTGTTGCATCTTGTTAATTATAAAATAGATACACGCTAAATAAAAAGTTTTCACTTTAGAAATTCATACCAGATTCTGGAAATAGTTTTACTTGGCTCAATATATTTGAAACTGAAAGTAAATATTTAGCTTGCGCAGTACCGAGGTGCTAATTTAATAAAGCCTTCTTTACTACACTAAATTTCCTTTACTCTGAGACCAGCCAAGTGCTGGGCTAATCTAAAATTATAAGTTAATGTAAACATGTTGCTTACTAATACTGAAGTTGCCCCATTTGCAAGTGGTCCATACACAACATACGTGTGGCCAGTGATCCATCCAACATCAGCAGTGCACCAGTACACATCTCCGGGTCGATAATCAAATACATATTTGAAAGTGGAAGCGGCATACAATAGGTAACCGGCCGTTGTGTGGAGGACTCCCTTTGGTTTCCCTGTAGATCCACTACAACAGACACCCAAATAATTGCGCTAGATGCTTCATTCCATGTTCTGCATGGTAAGTAACCTTGAAATTACATTAAAGAAGATGTGAAGAAAGAAGTCCATATACCTAATTTCAGCAACTCGTATTATATGATGAAATTTAAGAGAACAGATATAAAGTGATTTATATTTATAATGTTACCATCAATTCAGAAGACTGTGTACTGGCCATAACTGCAAACTTGAATCAATATGGATAATTTATGCAAGTCCATACACACAAAAAAACAAACAAACACATATCAGTTAAATTAGAAAGAAGCACATCATGATGGTGATAACACAAACATCAAACGAAGTTGTCAAGGTTACAAGTTACAACCAATACCATCTTATTAATAAAATAAAAAAATAAAAAGAAGAAGAAGATGGAAAAAAATTCTTGAAACACAATGATATATTCATGAAGTAAAAGCCAACCTGAGGATAAGGGAATCATCCATGTTGGCTATGTACATTTGACCAGTCTCAGTGTTAATTACATACACCAAATGCTTAAATAACAAATGACTTTGCATTTTGCTCACGGAGTATATTCATGAACTTCGTATGATTCTCAGAGTAATCAGCAATTATTTCCTTAAACAACATTAACCAAATTTATCTATGTAATACAGACACGTGTTTTCTTTGAGTTATGAACTGAATTCTTAAGTATTATTTTAATTGTATTAAGTTCATCTGTAGTTTCTTTAATGGTGCTATCCATAGCTCAGACTACACAACGGAAATGAAAGTAGTCGTAGCAGCAGTAACAGCACCACTTTCACATATTATTCTTACTGTTATTATTAGTTAGTTTCATCATCATCATTGCTGCTGTTGTTTTTGTCATTAAAACATAAACACACATTACTTCAAAAAAGTGTTGACAGACATCACAACTAATTCATGAACCATAAATCTTCACTACATTATTAAACATTATTTGCTGTGTATGCTTCGATATATTAATACTTATTACACACCTGGTGTAGAGCATGAAGAGAGGGTCTTCAGCTCCAACCCAGACAGGATAACAAGATGTAGACGCATCTTCCATCTCTTCATGCCACCAGACATCTCTTCCTTCTGTCCATGGAATCTGACGACAAAGAACATATCAAATGTCTAAGCAATGTTGTGTGATCCTTAGATATTCTAATCTTCATTATCTAATGTTCGTAAATATTACTGAATCTATCCTTTCATAACCTTTTGGGAGGGGGGCATATTAATAATAAGGAGAAAAACACTATCGAGGTGTTTTAATACAATGTCTAGAAGAGATATTTTATGTTGTTCTGTGCTATTAATCCAAATGAAAGAGGAAGAGGAGAATGCTGGTTAATGCGCGCTATATGTTGCGGTAGCGTTATATTTTCAAACAAATTGCTTGAAAGAAGACCAACACAAGAGACTCTAGTATGGGACTGCATAACACAGAAGATTCGAAGGCACTGAACATTCAACCTTGCATAATTAAAATATGGATGCCTGTGTTATCATACAATAGAGTTACTATGACATTGAATATATGTCAATTTTGTCCTTCCCAGTGAAGTCAGACATCAAAAGACAGAATATATATTAACTTTCAATGCACTAATAGCTTGATATATATTTCAAGACACAAACACTTCAAACACTGTATGTAATATGTTAAATCTATAAATTTTAGATTATGTTGAAGCTTGACTATAATAGTTACCTTGCTGCCAAATGCGTTCCTTTTTTCTGGTGATATATCACCATTTTCCTCAGTGATACCATTTCTGTTCTGTGAGGCACTTAGGCGGGGTAAGTGTTCAATAACTATGCAAGTCTCCACTTCATGCCCCAGTTTTTTGCAGCGTTCCAGAGCTACAATTAAAAGGAAAAATTAGTGCATCCTTCAAAAATAAAACTTTCTGGAAACTCACTATACACTTTCACTAACAAAGAACACCTTTAACAACACATAATAATACTGTTATTCCAGATATATTCCATAATCACTTTAATTTCCCATCAAGGTTAACAATGCTAATAGCTAGTGAATATAAGGAGCTACTTTAGCCATTCAGTATGGTATTTAATGATGTATAAAACTTATACATCCTTGTTTTAGAAAATAGGATATTAAGATGATAATTTTCTCTGTTGAGCATATTAATTGAAAATTAGAACAGTTCTTTGAAACCAAAATGCAACTATTTCTACCTGAATCACAGATTTCCTTCAGACAAAGTAACTTCTGTCCCCTCCACACTCCATCAGTGGTTACTACCACTTTACATTTTGAATCCAGCATTCTTTCAGCAAAGGAGTCAGCTGAAAATCCTGCAAACTAAAAAATTACAGGAATGCAAATGGGAAGTAATTTAAAATGTTGATTATTACGTTGTCTTGAGGACATGTGGAGCATTCAATTTAAGCAGTTTAAATGTAAAGACTTTTAAGTTAATTCAATTCATTTATTTACATATTAATAATAACAACAATAAAGTCTGTGGACAGTCCTTGAAAAACTGCCTTTCATGGAACCAGAAGGGTCATTAACACATTCACAAGAACATATCACTGAACACTATTCACTTGAACGAGTCCACAACCTCACACACTATACCACTAAGATTAATTTTATTAATTATCCTCCCATCTACACCTAGGTTTTCCAGCTAGTCTTTTCCATTTTTTTATATGGTTATATTTTCACACCAAAAGTTTATATGAATTTATTGTTGCTCATATGCTACTACATCTCCTGCCCATTTCACCTTCCTCAGTATGATCACTGATTATTTTAATAACAAATGGTGAAAAATACACACATTATGAAAGGTTTAATTACATAATTTACACCATTTCTCTCTCTCAGGTCCAAGCTATCTCAGAAATTTGTTCTCTGATACCCTCAAATTATCTGCTTTCTTTTGTAGAACCCACATGAAACAATCTGTAAATTATAGTTCTCTTTTGTTGTTATGGACAAACTACTTGCAGCATATGTGACTGTTACAGGTAGGTTGTAGGACTGCGGTGAAAGTCTTAGCTATGCCATGCTGAAAACATTTATCTCAGGATTTAGTTCTGGTTAGCAGTTCAAGGTGTACAGTTATGTCCTCAGTTAAATACATTTTCAATTAATAACAGGATCACCATAAATTTCTGCCAATTACAATACTACTAGTACTTCTGGACTGCCACGCCGTCTCTAACATTTCTATTACATAAACAAATACCAGTGATACTCAGCAATACAAATATGTTTTCAATGCCATTATAAAATTGTAAACATTACTGGCTGCATTCAAGAAGACAACTATGTTTGTCTAGACAATCCTTCAATTGTACTTTGCAAACAAGATAGTTACCACATAAATACAAAAATAAATTAAAGTGTACAATATTAAACAATTTTTGTCAGTTACAATAAAATATGACACCAATCAATCAAGAATTTTGCTCATGAGTTGTGCTTAACTGTCTCATTCTAAATATTACTTTAAGGATGTGACCTAGCCGGAACAGCAAATGCACTGAGACTTGTATTAGGACATAAAGCGCACAGAAAATGAGTCAGAGAGCTAAGTTGGCTGCATATTCTGGTTGAATTACTAATAAAATGAGCTCCTATATTAAGCACAGCAAGGACATACACACACACGTACATGTGTGAATATACCCATTGCTTAAAATTGACAGAAATTTCTTCCAGAGTTATTGAACAAATGGTAACATATTTTTAACCTTCTCAGTATTATCATTATAATCATCATCATCATCATCACAACCACTACTGCCATAATGTATCCAGAGCTATCATACTGGAAGGTTTAAGGATGGTTTTATGTGTTTCATCTAACAACACTATCAGTAGCTCAGATTACACTGAAGGCATCACGCAAGATGGGTGTATCAACAAAATGGCTGATTTTCAGGAGACTACATGCTTATGCCCGTCCCGCGCTGTAACCGTGCGGTCTGAGGCATCACGCTTCAGACCGGTGATACGGAATGCGTGCTGGTTCGAGTCTCTGGGGAGAAGAAATTTTCTCATGAGCTTTCGACCAGTGTATGGGACCGGTGCCAACCCAGCATCGTGAGGAAATTGGGCAGCTACAATGGGTAGCGTAATCTGGTCAGGAAAACTAGCAATGGCTGGGGGTTCGTTGTGCTGTCCACACGTCACCCTATATCTGGTTGGATGATCGTTTACCTCTGCTTAGGCATGTGAACGTGAGGCCAGCAGTCAAGCTAGTCGGCTTTGGCTCTCTGGAGCTGTTATGCCATGGATTTCATATTCTTATGCCCATTTCATAACAAATGTGCATTATAAATGTTCACATACCCAAATGTAACTGTTATCTATGTGTAGAGCACCATAACCATAAGCATTATGCTCTTCTGGCATGATATACATCCCATTGACATAATATACACCTAATTATTTTATGAAGTTATTTCAAATATCTTTAATTATGCTAACATGCTTACATGCCCTTCTGGCACGATGTCCTCAATTTTATGTTGAATGATAAGACAATCAATGAAGAATGAATTAAAATGGAGGCACTGGGAAGAGGATTTGGCCTAATTTAAAGTAGTATCCCAGAATTTGCCTTGAGGCACTGAATAAACCCATGGAAGCCCTCAGTCAGGACAGCCAATACATGAATCAAAACATGAACCCAGAATCTCTTGAAAATGAAGCACAATGTTCAGTTTAAGGCTAAAGGGAAGGACGATTAAAGAATGAAAAGGACATACCATAAAAAATGCAGTTTTAACAGACAGACACACCTACCCTAGCAGACATCATTTCTATCTTCAGTTAACTTCATCTTTTCTATCCCATATACTCCAAAGTTCTTTAGGAACTTAATAACGTAAAGAGAGTCGTAAACTTTTGAAAATTGTATGCACATCTACAGTAAACTTTGTTTACATACCACAATAGTGTGGACGGCTCCAATTCGAGAACAAGCAAGTATTGCAATTATTACTTCCAGGATCATGGGCATATAGATAGCTACCCGATCCCCTTTAGTGACGCCTTTTGACTTGAGAACATTGGCAAACCTGCACACCTCCTCCAACAGCTTTCTGTATGTAAGTCTGCTGTAATCATCAGGATCATTTCCCTCCCTGAAATTATAAAATAAAACAATACAGAAATACGTAAATATTCACCTAGACAGATATTGAAAATGGATAAAGTGGCTTGTACCACAGACTTTGAAGGTTCATTACCATAATGGAACTCGGACTACTGCTTACAATTATTTGCTAATATATGGTTAAAATTCAAGCCCAGGCTACTATTTAAATATTTATAGCATTATAATATCAAAAGCTGTGCCTTAGCTGAAAAGGTTAGATACTAATTTCTCACTGTGGAACTTGTAAGACAGTATCCTGTTGTGTGTCTTCTAGAACTACAATGTACTTTAATTATTCGACAATTTAATAATAAAGTGCTGTATTATCAAACCATTAAATAGTTAAAGGAATAAATGGTGTCAAGAATATGATGACTTATTTCAGATGTGTGTTGACTGATTAAAAATACTTTGTTCTCACTGTGGAGACTGAGTTGAATCCCAGGTGACAGCAAGATGTATTCCTTCAATCGTGAACGCACACATATACATATATATTTATTACATTCCATAGATCCATAAGTTAGTCAGACAACAACAAGATGTGAAATAAGTCAAAACAAAACAAATATACATGTACAATTCAAACAAGAACAGATTTCAGTTTTACTCTGCTGACCATCATTCTGTCATTCATGCTACTTATGTAACACCACTCATGAGCTGCATGAGAGCACGGATAAAATAGAACATTATCATACCCTCGGTCTTAAGATAGGGTTAAAATTTTGGCCCTGCCATCCTAACTGGATTTTTCATGATTTTACTCAGTCCCCACAGTAACATCCAATCCAATCCACTCATTCGATTGAAAAAGCATCATTAAATAAACAATAAATAGATTTTTCGCAACTTTACCCTGTACCTGCATTCAAATTCCATACATTAGCTGAGTGATAAATCCACCCTTTACTAATTCGCTAATCTTTATCGTAATCTGAACTGTTACATCAACACCTTGGGTAAGTGAATAAACATGACTGTCAGGCTACCAGGCTGGTAGCCTGAGAAGAATTCATTATCTTGGTAGCATGTATTTACTTCTTCTGCAACCATTGTTTCCATTTTACACATTGTCTAAAACTGTACAAGGAAGTGAAGAGGGCATTGAATATTCAAGTTTGGATTTAATGCATGTCTTAACACCTTCAAAAAACCAATGACAGTTTATAATACCCTGCCTTAATTAATAATAATGCATGTATTTTGGTTTTCACCTTCTTTACTTCACGGCACAAGCATTAATGCCTGTTGCAGTAGTGAAATTAAAGTAAAGACATCTTTTGCATCCATTCAAGGTGGATACTACCACTAGGTTCTCGTGTGTTCTGCCAGGAGAAAATCACACAATATTTAAAACACAAAAAATAATTTGCTCATTGTTCACATCACATTTATTACTGATGTCCTTTCCTAAGGTCAGAGACACATTTGAAAAATCTAAACTATGCTCTTAATGATAATATTATATGATAAAATATCCTGTAATCTTCAAGTAGGAAGGCAAAAGCTAGGCTGTAAACTTTGTGCTTATCAAACAATGCACATATTCTTTATATTGTTTGTTTACAGCTTGTGACGGTGACAATCGAATAATGCAGCTTTTTAAAAATTTGTCAGTCAGTCTTTGCAAGAACCTACACTTCCCACCCACACCCTGACCTTGACTCCAGTCTTATTCAAATTCATTTCATCCGTCCCCAACTGTTGGTAACGTATAAAGAAGTACAAAACAGGAATATTAAAACTATCCATGCCGATATCTGAAGTGGTTTAAACTGCACGTGTGTACGTATTTAAGCCAGCAAAGAGGGAAAGTCTTCTAAATAATCACTAAGTGTTTCACACGGGGCAGCTATTCACAGGTGCGTAGTAGAGTCAAGGCAATCCAAGGTCGTGCATGGTATGTCTTTGAATGCTGGGAATTATTTTGAAGCCCACCCGTCCATGGGCACAGCATAGAAATTTTGAGAAATAAATTGCATAGAGGATGATAAAACTGCCATGATTTAGTAACTTCCTGATGTTTCTTGTTATGGGTCAGTTCAGTTAAGTTATATCTCTTTAAGAGCGTTGTATTTATCATACAACCTGCTGTTGACTGGGATACATACACTGGTACATACATTTGCTTGAGACAAAGAAGGCTACAATTAAAATTTATTTACCTTCCATAGATCCTTCATAGCAAGAGCCAAGAGTGTAGAATATGTCATAGCATGAACATGAACACAACAAAACAAAATACCAAAACGTAATTACAATTGCATGCTAATTACATCTATTTACATAAATATTTACAGTGTTGTCATAATTGTACTTTATAGTTATATTAGAAACAAGTATTGATTGTATTTGTGCTGATATGTTCTACATCCTTGGCTTGAGCCTATGAAGAATTTATGGAATGTAAATAATTTTCAATTGAAATAAATTCTTCTACATCTTTTTGTCTCACTCCTTCCAGGAGTGAGATAAAAGATAATTTTTTACCAGCCAATTTATCTGTCTTCTCCACTGCAAAAATACTACCTAAGAAATTAAAGTGAAAGCAAAATCCAGCTCCCAACTGAGAAGAAACCGCCAACGTTTGCGTTTCCTTTTCAGTTGGGAGCTGGATTTTGTGGAGACAGTTAGCGTGTGCTCTAGGCTGATAAGTCGAGGCATAGATTTTATTGAGGCTGTCGCTGTGTGCGTTTTTTGCTAAGAGCAAGGGCGAAGCGTAGAAATAAATTCTGGTTCCCTCCACTTGTAAGTCAAAGATTGTTGAAAGCCCAATTTCACAAGTTATATGAGGACCTGCGTATGTATCCAAATAAATTATTCAGGTGCTTTCTTTTTTTTGTCAAGTTGGCTCGAGTTCGGCAGTAGAGCTTCACAGACTTCTATCCACAGTTTTCGTCACTGTACTCCGATATGGCCGAAATGTACAGTGCCAGCCTTTTCTCATATTCAGTTATCGTCCTGTCAAAAACTTTTCTGTCAATATCCGTGACGCGTACAATCGCTACCAAGGTCGGGCAAACAATGGTCACCGTGCTGCTGTTTCGCCGCTCGTGCGGGCACACAGGTTAGGTTATTCACGTTCCATTGCCACTGTGGGGCCACCGCACCGCATAGAGCAGGGGCCAACCCAAATGATCTTTCGGGCCACTTTGGAAATGCATCATAACTCCGCGGGCCACATATAAAATTATATATCCCCATATTAGATTTACTCGTAGATACACTATAGACTTTGGCCATTATAAAATAAATATACGAGGGTCGCTCATTAAGTAATGCCCCACATTTTTTTTCTCAGCCAATAATGAAGATAGAAAAGTGTACTTTTACATGCTTGAGATTTGATGTTTCCCGCGTTCGTGTACGGAGTTTCAAATGATTCCAACCGATAGCGGAGCTGTAGTGAACTGTTAAAATGGCGTCTGTGAACGACTCTCGTTACAAGCAACGAGCTGTAATTGAATTCCTTGTTGCTGAAAAAGAAACGGTGGTGAACATTCATAAACGTTTGTGTGCTGTGTATGGAAGCTGTGCAGTCGATAGGAGCACCGTTGGTCGCTGGGCTAAGAGAGTTAAAGCTTCAGGAAGTGAAGAAACCGAGCTCCGTGATCTGCCGCGCTCTGGGCGTCCTGCCACAGCCACCACTCCAGACATGTTGAACCGCGCGGATGCCATTATTCGTGAGGATCGGCGCATCACAACTCGACAATTGGCCCAACAGCTTTCAGTCAGCAATGGAAGTGTGATTGCAATTATCCGGGCTCTTGCATATTCGAAGGTGTGCGCAAGATGGGTTCCACGAAGTCTCACAGCAGACCACAGGATTCAAAGGAAAACGATTTCTTCTGAATTGTTGGAGCGTTTTGATGCTGAGGGAGAGGTCTTTCTGTCCCGGATCATTACAGGTGACGAAACCTGGATACACCACTTTGAGCCAGAGACAAAAAGGCAGTCAATGGAGTGGCATCATCCTCAATCACCGAGAAAGAAGAAATTCAAGACAACTCCCTCCGCCGGAAAAGTCATGATGACTGTCTTTTGGGACAGTGATGGGGTCATTCTTGTGGATGTGATGCCAAGAGGTGCGACCATCAATTCAGACGCGTACATCAGGACCCTGAAAACCCTCAAGAAGCGTTTTCGACGAGTTCGGCCTCACAAGCATCCAGCAGAAATTTTGCTCCTGCACGACAATGCACGCCCTCACACAAGTCTGAGAACCCGGGAAGAAATCACCAAATTGGGTTGGACGGTGCTACCCCATCCACCCTACAGTCCAGATCTGGCACCCTCCGACTTCCATCTCTTTGGGCCCCTTAAAGATGCTATCCGCGGAACAAGATTTGAAGATGACGAGAGCGTGATTCAAGCAGTGAGGACATGGCTACGGGGACAGGACAAGAGCTGGTACCGGCAAGGCATGCATGCCCTTGTTCCACGCTGGCGTAAAACCGTACAAGTTGATGGGGACTATGTGGAAAAATAGTATGTGTAAAGGAAACATTGATTTATATTGTCACTAAATTTGAGCCATCTTGAATAAATATGTTCTGAGGAAAAAAATGTGGGGCATTACTTAATGAGCGACCCTCGTATTTTGTAAAAGTGTGATGAATCTCGCGGGCCGGAAAAATGGTCAAGGCGGGCCACATGCGGCCCGCGGGTTGGCTACCCCTGGCATAGAAAATGAAGCATGTTGCGTTCGAAAAACCCCAGCGGTAAAACTACTACACGTGCGCTCGCTTCCTATTGAAACAGTGCGTTCCATCAATACGGCAGAAATACCGCTGCGGTCCAAACCGCAAAATAAAGAATAAAAGTATTATTTTCGATTAATTTACTGCTTTTAAACTCTTACTTAACATGCATTTATGCAATTTTAAAGTTTGCAGCACAATCCAGCCTCTGAAAATGACCAGAACAGAAGCGATATATTTAAAGAACTGGTCCATTGGGGGGGGGGGGGGGGTTTGAAAAATCTATTTTCCGAACCATCTGATACATTTTAATAACGTCACTTCAAAACATGATGGAACTGAAGTTCTGAAGTGATGCAACAGATATTATATCCAATACCCCTCTTAGCAGGGACGTATTTAGAAGGAGCTTTAGGTGCTAAAGCCTCCAATGCTAAAATACGAATCGGTTTTAAATATACAACTTTTAAGAATAAAATCAAATTAGAAAGTAAAATCTGGTGACGAAGCACGCCAATAAGATAACTAATAAAACAGGCCAACGTGATAACATGAAATTTCATTTGTTTTAACCAACCTTCCCCTGCCCGGAACAATATTTTTAATATACAATACTGACATACTACGTGAACATGCAGTTTTTGGTTAAACTTTTACTGAGTGAAAGGAAATTAAATGCTCAAGGTGAAAAAAGTAACGCTACCTTCGCATTTGTACAGTTAGAAATAGAAACAGGAAGGACACGCGATATACTGTCTGAAAAGTCACTAGTGGGTATATGTTCGCTTGAAACTTGGACTCCTCTAACCTCGATATCCACAGTAAATATTGCAACATTTAGTAAAATTAGTGTTCTGCAACAATGTTTTCACCCGCGGCACACTCTAAAATGTTAATTTCGCCTCACGAAGAGGAGATACGATACCATACATGATCATAAATATGTATCTACATACAAATCCTTGCCCAAAAGTGAGCAAACATATTAAAACAAAACATAATACATGTTGATTAAACTAATGATTATGTACCAGTGTGTGTAGAACGAATTCTAAATACGGAACACGAGTTACTTTTGTTTTCTAACGATAATGTGTGAATAAACAATTTGTTACAAAAATTCGCGGCACACCTAAAACTACGTGGTGGCACATCGGTTGTGGAACACTGGTAGAGAGGATCTCGCCACCAACCAACCAACACATGTCTATTTTATACAGATATTTAAATTTCACTTACCAATAAAACGCAATTTTATCACCGAGTCCACTTTTAACGTTGCGGTCCAGCAAATTGTAACAAATGTTTGTAGTCGCTCCTTCCATCCATTTAATATGAATTGGTCCCTTGGTGATATCGAAATTATAGGAGAAGAATTTGTTTGGCGATGCTGGAGTCTCCCAGTGGAACTGTTTAGCTATGTCACCCCAGAACTCCTCGGGAGTATCGATCGAGCTTTTGTACATATCCAGGTACTGAGCCATGGAACTGATGTGACTCTTTCGCGATAGTGTCGAATCGGGCATATACACCGTTTTCCCCATCTTGTCAATCAACTTAACACTTGCAACTGTTGAAATGCCGCCGAATAAGAATTACACAACACAACAGCCGTCCTTTGGGCTCGGTGCAGACTACGTTCGCAAACAGTTCTACTTTATATCAGCACTGAACACACAGCATAAAACTCTAGTAATAGAGACAGCCACCAGATGGCAACAACAACCTACCAGTGGGCGAAATATGATCACTGCGATGCAGGTGGAGACTTTTTAAACGAGAATCTGATTAAACTGCACAAGAAAATGGTTTAACTTCACGTTCATTTACAGAATTATCAAAAAACTGTTTTGGACGGACCGAACTCAGTTATTTTAGTTTTGTTCACATGATCCTCAGTATCGCCATCTGAAAACAAATCATTAGATGAATAAGAAACCACAAAAATGCACACAATTTAAACAATATTACCAAACATACACATTATATTTCACATCACATTTTTAGATGTAATTATAAAAATAAGAATATATATATGTGTGTGTGTGTGTGTGTGTGTGTGTGTGTGTTAGTACAAGCAAAGCTAAACTCCTCATGTATCTTCCATTGAAAACCAACAAACCCGGAAGCCTGAAATTTACCGACAGCACAATGCCAATCAGAGGCCGAGATAATTTTTTCTATCGATTAACTTCATTGTTTTTATGCAACATACGAAGCTTACACTGTGGAGATTTCCTTGATTTTACTCAGTCACCCAGCCAAATACTGGAATACAAACCTAAAATACGTCTCGTACACTTTCTTCCAATTATGCATTCGTAATCGTCCTACAGTTACACGAGCCAGTTCATAAAGCGTTGTCAAACATTAGACTCTTGGGTCACTCAATGACGTTTTATTAACTGGAAAGGTTATATAGCACTGTATTGTACCTAATAAGGTTGCGAATGATGAATTTCACTCTTTACAGGTTTAATTAGGGTGATCACATCTAGTATGATAATAAGTGCTGGACATTTAGCATGCACTGTAAAACCTAAAAGAATGAGATTACTTGAGAATAAAAATAATTAAATTTATTCGTTTGTTTGCCAACAGCAAAGAGTCTATAACAGGTAAAGTACCAAACATGTAATTTAAACAAAACAATTTGACGCTATTAAATACATATAAATAGTTTAAAAACGTTCACGCATAACGAAAGTATCCTCACAAGAGATATTGTTTTTTGTCTGAAAATATCCACATATGTAATTTGCCGCAATGACACACCTAGCTGAAAAACCATGTCTTAACGCATTGCTGTCACTAAAACATAAAATAATCCTGATTGCCTTGTACGCAAATAAATAAGTTTTCAAGGCGGAATAACAATTTATTTTTCTCTTGAGAAGGACCAGGAAGCGGCCATTTAAGGTACCGCCAAAATTTTCCTGTAGATACTGAGGCAAACCACAGAAACCTCAAGCGCAAGATCCAAACCCGGGATCCCCAGAACTTGAACAAACTTTGAAACTCTCGACCACTTTTGGTACTGATAAAATAAGCCTTCAGAGGTGATAAACCAAAAACAGGTACCTTCTAGATATCTTTCATCAATATACGAGCATTCAGGACGGCTGCTATTTCAATAAAATCTCCACTGCTGTTGGCAAACACTCCAAATTGAATTATTATAACGCCTAATTACTCATTTTACTCACACTTCTTCGGAGTACAGACCGTTATAACACGAAGCATCGCTTTAACAATCATGCATATCGAAAGTTAAAAAATCCTTAACTAATTACATTGTAATCTTTCCTCCTACAAAGTATGCGAACAGAGAAAACTAGCCAATCGCAAACACTCAAAGTATCAGCTGGGGTTCTCAACCTGGGGTCACATTCACTCCTTGTTTGGACTCGCGGGTTGAAAGACCATTGCACCAAACGGCGACAGTTTCTTTTAACCAAGAAATGTTCGGCATTTTATGGAACACGAAGATTTTTTAACGAGTTCACAAAAACTCACCACTGAACGCATACTCTAACCCCCAATATCACCAATTTCATGGAAAATTTCCTTCCTAGTTCCGGATAACAATATCTTCTCTCGTTGATGAGATTTTTGAGGTGGTGAAAACGTGCACTGTGGTCTTCTGGGTTGTGACACCGTTTAGTCTTGCAACATCTCGGAGTAAACATGTCGCATCAATTACGACTACACAGTGTCACAACCCAGAACACAACAACCTGCAACCCCTCCCCCTGCGTTGCGACTGTAACTCATTAACAAAGAGTTCATACGGTAGATAGGTAACTGATTAAACATTGATTTTATGTTCCAATTCTTCATAACTACTTTCCTAACTTGGGTCAGCGACATTACATCACCAAATACAGCATCGTTAAATAACTCGTGAAAAAAATAAATTTTGCGTGATTTTGAGCCTAGTTTTTCTACACTTAGCACTTGCCTTCAATTCTTAATAAACATGACACACATTTAAAGCGATACTAACTGACGCATGATGACTGCTACATTTTTGTATTCTCGACTATTACAAGACATCCGGTGATTAAAATACATTCATATTCCTACTTAGAATAGGTGAAGTATTGAACTGAGCTGTGCCCATGACCCCTTAGACCCATTATCCCGGTAGACACAATGATAGTCTCTGCTTAAAAGACTAACACGTTGTGGACGAAACAGTATATGTCCCTGCTATATCTTGAAGCAGGTTTTGCCTACGAGACAAGATGTGAGTAGACCCAAACTTGTGATTAGAATCCGGGTAACATCTTTAGCGTTAACTTACCAAGGGGCACTGGAGAAGTCCACCTAAACAGGTTATATTACACAGAGGCATACCTATTGTCACTTCATTGAAAGACGCCTTTTAGGAGAATAAAATAAAATCTGAATCAAGACAACTGACATCTTGCAGACAACGCAAATCACAATTTTACTAACATGAAGAAGGCAGCATAGCTAATAATTGCAGAATGGAAAATCAGTAGCAGTACGTTCATACTACACGACACACATATTTCAGTACGGTATGTCTATATGCAAAAAAAAAAAAACAAAAAAAAAACATGCTCATTGTGACATGCGAAACATTTCCGTCTTTCGTACATTCTATGTTATATTTATTTAACTCTGTCGTCAACAAATGACAATTGCACATTACAATGTTATGTAATGACCACGTCAGTGATAAACAACTTCTATGCATTTGTGACACTCGATAAGATTACAATTGATATATGCGACCACGGTATTCGATGTTACAGGTGCGAAGCGTTCATGTTAACCGTGTTAGCCCGGCTAACACTGTGAAGAACAAAAACATAAAAAGTCTTCTGTATTACTTTTGCTGTTCAGTGGTACTCCACATTCTGTAACATGGCAAAACCCATCAGATAAATAGCATCGTTAGCGTAAAGAACACCTTTGGATCTTCAGTGTATACAACAACTTCACAGCCTTGTTATGAATGTTCTCTAAGACGAATGCATAAAAGTAGCCGAACACGACAACGGAAAATTTCCACAGTATGTAAATGATAAAATGAGGTAAAAACATTTCCGTGTATTGTCTTTTGTAAAACATGAACTGCGAAGTCAAACACTTTCTGAATATACGTACGTCTAGCACTACAGCCACCAACTATCACAGTTAAAAGTTGTAGTCGCTGAATTTAAACACACATTCTAAAGTCTCTGCCGTGTCTGAAAATACTTTTCAAAGTCGTCGTTTTTCAAAAGCCCTTTCAGTACTGTCGTCACATTGTGATAAAGTTAACAGTCTGCAAGGAAACTTTAGTGACATTAGGCCAAATCAGGCGAGCAGGGCGTACTCGGGCTTTTCCAACACTGATAACGATGTTCTCAACACTCAATCACCAGTAAATACACTGATACAGATCAATTAAGTCCTCACACCTCTTATTTCCTGAAGATCTTATCATCGGAGGAGCATACAGCCTCTATCTTCTGGGAGGATATGAGATTTTAGTGGTTTTGTGATTAAACATCGTGGGTTTCTGTTTTCAAGTTTCACATATAGGATTTTTCTAAAGATGTGGTTTTTCCAGGATCTGATACATGAAGTGTCTTCTTTGTACTGCTTATAAGTAGACCCTACAAGTCAGATGACGTTAATGTTGCTTCTACACACGATCTACAGTTTACTTTTCACGGCATTTCTACACTACAGTTCTTGTCCTTCAACTTCTCTTAGCTTGTGCTAAACAATACGCATAACAGACAGTTTGGCAATGAATCTATCGCCTACCTCTGACTCAAGATGATATCAGTCAATTATTTTTTTTATTTTTCTATTTTATTCATTGCTCAACGACGCTTTCCATAGCTTAGAAAAAAATCGTCCAATGAAGGGGAGATTAATACATTGGAAAATATGTGGTCCTGGTTCAATTTGAGGTACTGTCCTAGTATATACTTGGTAGTGACTGAGAAAACTATAAAAATCTGTCATGACAGCCCGTCTTCGGGCCCATATTTGACACCTGAGTCTCCCTGCCAAGACGTCAGGTAGTAACGTTTGGTGTTGTTAGAGTATGCAGTATTCGGCACACGTCTACACAAAAACGCGTCGATTTCTACTGTATCTACAATTAAAGGTAGGGCATTATAATTCCTCATGTCTAAAGCCAACTCCCATAAAAGCGCAAAGATAATTTATTTACTTGAGCACATAAGCTATCATGACTTAATAAGATAAAGGTCTAGTAAAGGAATACTCCTTAATCGCTTTCCCAAAAGGTATGTACGAATGTACTTAATCTGTTCATCAATCGCGTTATCGCAACATCTCCGCAACATTTATAATCTTCATTCACATCCTTTTAAATAATGCAAAACAATTTCACAAAGATAAGTTACGAGAAAAAGGTGCAACTAACCTCATTAGCATTTCAGTCCATATATATATATATATATATATATATATATATATTATTTATTTAGTGTTCTGTCTGACGACAGGTCCATATGAACAGGATCCTTCCATCCTTTTCTGGGACTGGGACCTGTTCATATACG